TGTATATATATATATATATATATATATATATATATATATATATATATATATGTATAAAGTGTATGTTTAATATAAACGGGTTAAATCATGAAATCCTCAATATTCTTTATTGCACTATTTGGTAAAATATGTACTGGATATTTTATCAGTCGAAATATTTGCATTTTACTTTAAATATTAGAGATTAAATCAGTGTACAACGGCTTTAATGTGCACTGAGTGCGCACCAGTTCTGCCAGTGAAAAACGCTATAAAAAGAGAGAAGAGAAACATTCCATTCCTTCTCCAAGCTCCATCCTCAATACAAATTCGCGTAAGTAACGGATGCGATGAGAGAAGTAAGCTACTCGACGATTTAGTTCTCTCTATTCATGAATGCGGCACATTTGAAGAAAGTGCACCTGACGCGACGGCATCTCCGCACTATCGTGTTACATCTGTGCCGTCGGGAACAATCGCGCGCTCCATTTTATGCAACGTCAAAGGCGCGCCGAGGCGTGTGAATCGCGCGTTTTCTTTTGTCCGATCATACCGGATAAAATGAAAAACACCGACCGTGACTACCGTTGACCGAGTATTACAGAAATGTTGTAACAGATACTCGACGATCGCGTGGGAGGCTCGTACACCCATATAGCCAGTTTTGCGGCAATCGCGTCGCGATTAATTTCTCATTATGACAGAATTAACTTGCAAAATCTGCATCACGATAAAGATGACGAGATTCATCTCGCGAAATACCAAGTTTTCCGAAAGATCTCGGTCGGCGGTACTCAATCGGTTGAGTATAAGGCCATAAATAGAAATTACACGATGTGGGCTTACATCTGACAGCGGTACGTGACTTCCGAATCATCGTCACCTGACGAAAGTCAGCGTAACCGCGACGAAACGGCGGTCCTTACGCAATGCTTTATCCGGATTACCAGCAGCAATCGTCTCGTAACCTTGAATTCCGCTGACCAAAGGTAGCATCATCGGCATTCAGTTGATCCAGCATAAAAATACCATACTCCGATCGATTCTGGGAAGCTCCCTGACGTGTCTCAACCTCGATCGGACCGACACTGACTCATGCGTTCGCTCGCGAGGTTCGCGAGGACAAGACGCGCGTTAATGCATATCTCACAAATTAGACCTAATCACTACGTTTGGCTTTCCGCGCAAATTAAATATTCCGCTCAGGAGTCTCGCGCGCGCATACGTAGGCGCTCTATTTCAGGCAAGGACTTAACGCACGAGGCTTCCTTCTCAGACCGCTTCCTTCCTACCCCGACTCCTTTCCTCACATCGCGTCGTTCAGTTTGCAGTCCGCGGGAGAAATCTACGAGGTCGTGATCTCGCGGAACGATCTCGATCGTCGGGGAGTCAAGTGCACCGTCCCTTCTCGGCCGACCTCCGGTCGCTCGGTCGCCCCAAGGCGAAAAGTTACGTGGCTTTTATAGCCCGATCTCTCGTGAGTTGGCATCACGGACATCTCGCAAAAGTGGCTGTTTAAACATCGGCGCGTGCCTCCGCCGTCATCGTCAATATCGGTAATTTATTAGATCACGTCCGACCTTTATACATCGTCAATTAATTTTTGATCTTATATATTATATATTTGTGTCAAGAGGAAAAAATTGACTTTAATTGGTCTGAAGATTATATGTAGGTATATGAAAGGAAGTGCAACAAAGCAGGGATATTTACACTGTACACTTACGATTATGCTCGCCATACAATTAGTCATTTCTACAGTTGTCTGCTACCCATTTTCTTAAGTATATACCAGAGGACAAAGTCTTTGCGTGCGAGTCGATTAAAGTTATTAGCCGTGTTTCGCAAGCGGACATTAATCGTCGGCATCGTCGCCGACAAGTCCTGAGAGATCGTCGTTGGTTATGCTCGTCGTCGGGGGAAAAAACGAGTACATCCTCACGTGCAATTTGTACGGTTTCCATTAATGGCGATTGCGCCGCGATTGAAATTTAAATGTGACTGCGAGTTACCGCGCGCGCGACGCACCTACGCTACCTCATCGCGCGATTTAACGACTCGCGCTCGTGTCTATCACGATTGATTGCGTGCCGGAGAATTCCTCTTAACCCTTTATCGCGCGAGATTTTTTCCTTAGCGAAAAGTACTTTATAGACCGGACTTCTCCGATGCCTTTTATTCCACCCGAGTCGCGGCGTAATCAACGCCATCGTATTCCGCAATTATGTATTACCATATTTATAGCTCTGACTGAAAGCGTTGATCATTCCTAACACATCGTGATAACTTAAACTATGCAGTTAATTTTTAAAATACATTATTAGTAATCGTACCTTGAATCAGTGTCTCTGATTGATATTCTTTTTTTCTTCCTTTCTTTTCGATTATCCATGAAACGTTGGAAATATTTAAAAAAATGTACTTTATTCGAGACTTTATTTCTTACGTAGTTCACTATGTGACACGACATTTTTATTTAAATTTTAAAATTTGGTTGACAAAAATGGACACACGTCTCTGAAATTTTTTCTGCTTCCGGCTCGGTTTTGTCTCATGAATCTATCAGGTGCTTTCGATGAGGCAAGGTCACTTTTTCGACAGCTTCCTGATCCATGTCGCGCACCGCTGCCGGGAGAAATGTGCGTGCGTACGTAGCCCCGCATGTACGCGCTAAAAACACTGTACGTTCAATGATATATCGATCTTTTTCGATCGCGAGCAAGGTCAAAAGGGATTGGTTTTACCTCGCTCTTCCTCCTCTACGTTACATACGTCGCGCTACCCGCTTCGCCGTCTTCGTTCCGTCTCATGTCGTTTCTCTTCTCGCGTAGCGTATTTCGTCGTATCGCCCACTCTGCGTCGATATGCGAACCTTCGCTTCGAGAAATTAATTGCGCGCCCGTCTACCTGTCCCTGCTGCGCACCACCTCCCCGTGCCTCTTCTCGACTTGCTCAACAGTCCAGGCGGGTCGATCGTTGGATGCTACGACGCTCAATGCACGTACGCGTATCTCTCATGACGATGAATGCGTGACTGCGGGACCGGGCCACTTGTGAGATACGTTTGCGCGAGGATTTTCCGGGATGGGCTCAGCAAAAAGGTTCGCTCGAGAGTAAATACGAAGTGTCGGTTAACGATAGAAAGCTTAAAAATTCCTTTTATGTCCTAACTTGACCGACAAACGTTCTACCTCGACTTAATCCTACACCCTGATATTTGTTCACGTCTGCCAGCTTGATTCCTCGATAAATTCGACGGTGAACTCTCTGGCTTATGCAGATTATGTAAATTCTATTTGCTCATTCGATGGAGTTGCGTGCATGACAAAGTGCGTGCGACAATGATGCGCATGAATATTTAATCATCGATGATCGAAATGAATATTCTGCTGTCTGCGAGAACGTCGCGTCGGTCGCATAGGTAGACTATTCTCATAATCGCGGAAGCGTTAACAATTGTATAGTTGTAGTTTCGTACGAATGATTGACTTGGTAAACATAGCCAATGGCTATGTGTCAACTACAAAGTGTCTTGTTAAGACGGAGAAACGCGATCTAGTTAACATTGCTGACCGTAATCATGCGTCTCCGTTAACTTGTCCGCGCAATTGCTAA